GTGAACGGCTCCAACCTCCTGAACGGAACTCCACGAACTTCTGCTAGCCGCCGAACAATGATATCCACCAAGCGGCATTCGGTTCCATCCAGCAGTCTCTAAACGCAAAGAAAAAATCCCCCCAATAACGAGACAGAAGCTCTGCATTGAGGGTCAAACAGGATCTGGCTTTACTGTGGGCTACCTGCCCAGATTTATGCAGGTCTCCCACTTGGTGGACACTCCCCTAGGGGACCAAATGGGAGACTGTAATGACAGACAGACATGAGGACATTCCAGACATACAGTCACAGCTTTTACCCACAATACACTATGGTTTCCTCCCCTCTGCCCTGGAGATAATTAAGAAGTAGCTCAATTATCTCCAGGACAAAGCCAGTCGCCATTTTAAATATAAAACCAGAAAATGCATAAAAATCCATAACTTTACAAAAACCGAACATTTCCCATTCGCATCACATATCCCCAGATAGCCTGGATCTGAGTGCATATTATTAGCGAATATAGTTACATAGTTACATAGTTACGCGAAAGGCACGGGCGTCCATCAAGTTCAGCCTACCTCACATTTGTTTTGATCCAAAAGAGAGGCAAAAAACCCGGTTGAAACACAATTTTGCAGCAAACTAGGAAAAAAAATTCCCTTCTTGACCCAGAATGGCGATCCAGATTTATCATGGATCAAAACGGTTATTACCCTACATTGAAAGATTATATCCTTGAATATTCTGTTCTTACAAGTATGCATCTAGTAGCCATTTGAACATCTGTATGGACTCTGATAAAACCACTTCCTCAGGCAGAGAATTCCACATCCTGATTGTTCTTACAGTAAAAAAACCTTTCCTTTGCCTTAGGCGAAATCTTCTTTCTTCCAGTCTAAGCGCATGGCCTCGTGTCCTATGTAAAGTCCGGTTTGTGAATAGATTTCCACACAATGGTTTGTATTGGCCCCGAATATATTTGTATAATGTTATCATATCCCCTCTCAGGCGACGTTTTTCTAAACTAAATAGGTTTAAATTTGTTAAACTTTCTTCATAGCCGATATGTTCCATTCCTTTTATTAATTTTGTAGCCCGCCTCTGCACTTTTTCTAGTGCCATAATATCCTTCTTTAGAACAGGTGCCCAAAATTGCACAGCATATTCAATATGTGGTCTTACCAGTGATTTATAAAGAGGCAAAATGATATTCTCGTCCCGAGAATGAATGCCCTTTTCATGCATGACAATACCTTACTGGCCTTGGCCACTGCTGATTGACATTGCACATTGTTGCATAGTTTGTTGTCTATAACAATTCCCAAGTCCTTTTCGTGTGTTGTTATCCCTAATTCGCTTCCATTAAGGGTATACGTTGCTTGTGTATTCTTTACGCCGAAGTGCATAACTTTGCATTTTTCAACATTAAATTTCATCTGCCATTTGAGTGCCCAGTCCCCAGTCTATCTAAATCCCTCTGCAGCAAAGTAATATCTTGCTCACATTGTATTGTTTTACAAAGTTTTGTGTCATCTGCAAACACTGAAACATGACTTTCAATGCGGTCTTCAAGATCATTTATAAACATGTTAAATAGAAGGGGTCCCAGAACAGACCCCTGAGGGACACCACTTGCCACCTCTG